ACGATCCACCATCCATCCACCATGCACCCATCCATTCGTCCACACATCCATCTATCTACCTGCCCAGCCACCCACCATTCATCCATGCACCCATCCATCCACCCGCCCACACACCATCCATCCATCCATCCTCCAGTCAATCCATCCACCCACCCATCCACTTATCAATCCATCCACCATCCACCATCCATCCATCTATGCATCTACCCACCATCCACCCACCATCCCCCCATTCATCCACCATCTACTGTCCACCCATCAATCTATCCACCATCCATCCACCCACCCAGCACCCACCCATCCACCCACCCATCCATCCACCATCCAACAAATCACCATCTACTCATCCATCTACCATCTACCATCCACCCATCTACCATCCACCCATCCACCATCCAATCAATCACCATCCATTCATCCATCCACCATCTACCATCCACCCATCCATCAATCCATCCATACATATACCATCCTTCCATCCACCATGTACCAATCCATCCACCATCTGCTATCCACCTACCCATCTCCCCATCCACCCAACATCCAGCATCCAGCATCCACCAACCACCCATCCATCCACCATCTACCAACTACCATCCACCCATCTATCCACTATCCATCCATCCTTCCATCTACCATCCTTCCATCCACCATCCACCCATCCATCCACCATCCACCATCCACCCATCCACCCACCATCTACCATCCACCCATCCATCATCCATCCATCCATCCATCCATCCATCCATGATCCACCCATCCATCCACCATTTACCATCCACCCATCCATCCATCCATTTATTTATCCACCATTCATCCATCCACCTACCCACCATCCACCATGCCATCCACCATCTACCATCCACCTATCCATCTTCCATCTACTATTCATCCACCCACCCATCCATCCATCCATTTATCCATCCATCAATCCATCCATCCATTCGTCCACCATGCAACGATCCACCATCCATCCAGCCATCCACCATCCATCCATCCACCTTGTATTATCCATCCATTCATCCACCCATTCATCTACCATCCACCCTCCCCATCCATCCACCATCCACCACCCACCCACCCACCCACCAGCTCTTATTGTTCCAGGGATACTGCTGAGTGCTGGAGATACAATGATGGAGAGGACAGTCAATCCTGTCCTCATGAAGTTTGACACCAAGGGGAGGTACAGACCAAACACAGATGAATAAAATAATTCAGAGCTGCCACTGTGCCGTGACACAAATAATGGATTGCTAGAGGAAATACAGGTGGGGGGCAGGGACAGGAACCAAACCTGAGATGAATGGGGAGCAGTCAAGGAGGGCTTTTGTGAGTAGGTGACATATGAGCTGAAATCTAAAAGATGAGAAGCCAGACCTGGCAGGAATGGGAGGGAGCAGCCTGTGCAAAGACCCTGACAGAGGAAAGAGCCTCGCACATTCAAGGAGCGAAAAGCAGACCTGTGTGTCTGGCGCATGTGAACAAGGAGAGGGGAAGCCCATAGAGTCACTGCATGAACTGATTAAAGAGGGAACAAGTGAACCAGTGAAAGGACAGCCAGGTAGCTGTGTTTCTGTTTGCAGGAAAATGCAGAGCTGTTCAGAGCGGATAAAACGGGCCAGCCCTGGAAAGATTATGTCAACTACATTGACAACATGGTCTTAGAAGAATTTGAGAATTTCATTCGGAATTCTCTAAATTACCTCATAAACAACATGGTTATGGATGTAAGTTATAACTCTAAGCTCCATTACGTGTGCATATGTATGTACGTGTGTGTATTATAAATACGAGCTAGGCTACTCTGTAATCTACAGTTTGCAGTTTCCTGATGAAAGAATAGGCTATCATGTTAGAAATAAACAGGATTAAAATCTGCAAGGTTGACCACCTTGTCCCAGTTTTAAAACTGAAAGTCCTGTGCCCCGGAAGCTCCTCAGTCCCAGGCACTCAGGACATCTGATCACCTTAAACCTGCCATACTGGAAATGGGCCGTAGAACACCCAAATGCATCTGAGGGAGTTGTTTCACTTTGCTGCCAGGTGAGAGAAAGCGGGTACCACTGTCCCCTCCTCACGTTGATTGGGAGGACGGGGAGGGTCATACCAACCATTCACCTACTCAACCCTCTGCTGGGTCCAGTGAGAGTGTAAACCAGGTTGGCAAAGGGGACGTGCTTGTTAACTTCATCACAGCACATTCTCCAACACTTCCACGGGGATGAGCCTCCCCTGCAATGGTGCCCAAACCTTCTGGAATACTGTCAGTAGGGCACGATCAAAGACCCCCAGCCCACGAAGCCCACCCACAAGAAAGGATGAGCCACGAGGTGCCCTGTACAAGCCACAGAGGGTGGATGGTTCGTGTTGGAGCCCAGCACATATGTCCCCAAGGCCGGTAGTCACCAGACAATCACAACTCCAAAATTCCATTGATCAAAAAAGTCATCACCACCACCAACTGTAAGGTTCACCAGGCGATGAACCCACAGCGATGCAAAGTGTCAGTGATAAAGTTAGTTCTAAGTCAGAACTTGTAGTTACAAAGCAAGGAGAGTCACAGTCAAAACCATGATGATGCCCTGACAACAAAGTGTCCTCAAAACATCCCAGGGAGTCCCTGTGTGTGCAAGTGGCCTAGTGATAGGAACAGACCCCTGAGACAGAGGCTTTAGGAAAGTCTGGTCATCTGAGCTCATGACAGCTGACCTCCTGTACCACTTCCAGCTCGCTCGGACACTAGCAAACACCCTCCCTTGGCCATGGAGTAAACCCGTGGACTCTCGGGGCAGCTACCCCAGGGCCAGCGTGGGGCTGTGTTTGGAGGAAGATGAGCGGTGGTGGAGCAGAGCTCGTGGCCGCCTGTGGGCCTGGCCCCACACTTTGAGAACCACTGGTGTGTCGGATTAACCCCCATCCCATCCTCCAACCTTACAACAAGGCCGGCACCCTCAGCCTCACAGGCTCGTGAGGGGGACCCAGGAACAGAAAGGGTTATGGTGTGCACGTGCTTTTTAACCAGAAACCTCCAATGGACATTTGGGCTTGTCCTTTCTGGAGCACAGCAGAGGCTGTCCTGCCCGGCTGTGACGCTGCCACGCCTGTGATCATGGCTGCCAGCTCTTAGAAGTGAGCCAGCCATCACTCTACACTCTTTATATGGTATTGGTTCATTTAGTCCTCACAATAACCCAAGGAGACGGAGACAATTATTGTCTCTGTTATATAAAACGATTTATATATTTGAGGTCAAAGGTCTTACTCAAGGTCACATAGCTAGTAAGTAGCAGATACAGGCTTTGAACCAAGGTAGCTGGTCTCCGGTCTCCACTCCCCATCACTGCCCTGTCCTGCCCTGGGCTGCTCCAGCCTGCCTCTGGCCCTGTGGCCATGTGTGCAGTTTCATTCCGCTTGGTCCAGGGACCACCAAAGTGTTCCCAGCCAGCAGGAATTAGGCCTCCACCCAGGATGGTGCCTGGTGGGAATATCCGGGCATTGAGAGTGGCTCACCTGAGGGCAAGGCTGACTCCTGGGATGGCCTGTTTTCAGGAGAACATCGCACCACTGTTTGAGGTCCACATGGAGCTGGACGAGGACGGGCTGGTCTTCAGTCCATCCCTGGAGATAGGCACAGACTACGGCTTCCTGACGCTCATCGAGAGCCTGGTCAATGACATCTACAACGTGGCCAAGTTTATCCCCCGACTGGCCAAGGGCAGACTGAACTACAAGGTCAGTTGGGCTCCATTCAGCCCCGCCTGCCTCCCCACCTGGGCACCAACAGCTTCCCTGGTTCAGAACTGCCTTCCTCACTCAGCAATGCCTGGTGATTTCTATTAAGTGATGGTGGTTCTGAATGTGACCAGGAGCCCAAAGGTTTCTGTTCCATCAGGTTCCCCAGGATACAGACCAGGTTTCTCTCCCCACTCCCGAAACCCCGTCCTCCTCCCAAAATGGCTTCTCCTCAGTCGGCCTGGCCTTCGCACCCTGGACGCCTGCCCACCCCGTCAGACGCCCAGCGCGTGTTCATACCCCTTCCCGGTGTTTCACTCCCTCTGTCACCTGAACGCTGGCTGTGAGTCTCTCCGCACTCAAGCATTTTGACACATGTGCCTCCCACTGTCTCCTGCATCCATCTACTTACTCGAATGCATCACACGCCAGCCCACTGAGTGAAACGCAGCCAGATCACATTCCCAGGATGCAGAGGACATGGGAAATTCAGCCTCCCCTGCAGGGAGGGCTGAGGAGGTGTGTTTGTCAGAACGTTGTTTGTACAACAGTAAAACAAATATTGGAGAAGGCCTCAACTTCCACCAAACAGGAGCCATTAGATAGATTCTGGCCCAGCCATACAGAGGCACAGAAATGAGCCGGGGTGGGAAGAGGCTCGAGACATGTTATTAAGTGTTCATCAAGTTGCGGAACAGTGTTTAACATATGCTTTTATTCTAAACGAACACTCCAAACTGTTAAGAGTGCTCACCTCTGGGAGACAGGAAAGGGGTTAGGACGGTAGGAGGACAGGGGGCTTTTTATTCCCTATATTTCTGCATTGTTTGAAACTTTTGGTAATGGGCACGGATTATTTATAACAAATATTTGCAGCAGGATGCTCTGCACTGTAAGGGAGAGGGACGTGTGCGTGTGTGGAGGGCACAAGCGGGGGGACCACCGGGCGAGGTCAAGGGCTGCTCCCCAGAGGAGCTGACATGAACGGTGAGAGGGGATTTCCAGGCAGAGAAAATGGCTTAAGAATTTCTGGGCCACACGAAGATGACATGCCTGGCCCAAGTGCACGCAGCCAGCTGTTCCACAGTTCAGAGCAGAGTCTGCCACTAGGGAGCAGTTCAGGTATGAACATGGGACCCAGCGATGGGCCACGGAGAGCCAGGCTTGTCATGTGCTCTGGGAGCTGGCAGGATGCGTGTCTCGTTGGGCTCCTGCAGCCATCCTGGGCTGTGGGGGGCTTCACCTGCTGATGCAGTCGCACCAGAGCGGGGGAGGGGGAGGCTCCTGGTGATCAAGCCGTACCCCAGTCTGCGGGCCCCCCCCCCGTCTCACTTGTACCCTCGAGGTTGTAATCTGTGGAGTTGTCTGAGTGGCACGGAGGAGTCAATGCCATGGAAAGAAACGCTTCATGTTTCTCACCGTTCTCCTAAAACGAGAGGCATGGCAGCCCCTCAGGAGCCTGGGGAAGCAGCAGGTTTGGTCAGGAGGCAGACGCGGGGGTGGGGAGGCCCAGGCCGGGGTCATTACTGGGGTTTCTGCAGGGAAGGCAAAGCAGGGCAGGCAGCAGCTCAGGGCCAGCCAGTCTGCATAACGTTGGGGCACTGGGCTCTATGGGTATCCCCAGTTACCTGGTACCCGCTAGACTTGGGTCGGTTTGTTTGCATATGAAGGGTGTACTCCCCTCCCAGCCCTTTGCTCTCTTCGAATTGGCTAGCCCTGGGATGGGAAGTTTCTCCCCAGCAACAAAGATTTTTTTAAGATTTCAAAGCATCTTAAGATACAGAAAATAAAAAACATCAATACACCCCCCCAACCTTGTGATTCTCCAGTTACATGAGCCAATAGTTGTCTGTTTGCTGACACTAGTTTGGATTGGGTTTTGTCACTTGAAACCCAAAGATCCTGTCCTGCATGGGCCTCCATGCCCCCTGCTCCAGCTGTGGCAGCTCCTAACCATGCGCTTCCTTCCTGCACAGGCCTTTGTATGTGCTTTGCTGCTTCTCCTCTTTGCCTACCTGTGCATCAGCTTTCGGGGAGCATCCCCCCACCTCTTCCCCATTGCACCTTAAAGCAAGGGCCAGAGTCAAGATGTCTCATTTCTGTGATTCTTTGATGAACATGTGACCTCACCCCTGGACCACACCCTCTGTGTGAGCCGGTCTACATCCCCAGTGCCTGTGCCCTTGCCTGGCACACAGCAGAGGCTAAGGAACGAACGAACGAACGAACGAATGAATGAATGAATGAATGAATGAATGCTCCAGCCATCTCGGGGTCCCCAGACAGAAGTCACATTCAGCGTGTCTTTTGGAGGAAGAACACTGCAAATCGGCAAATGTCCCTCTTTCCTGTCTTGAGAGGTCAGCGACACTTCCACCGACAGAGAGCCACTCTCCAGGGCGTGGAGGTCCAATCTAAGCCGTGGCTGCAGGCAAGACGCTCAGTGCTGCTTCTCTCCTGCCCCTTCCAGCCAGACCTGGAAGACATGACGGGCCTCATAGACATGCGGGAGGAGCTGTCCAACCTGGTCATCAACGCCATAAAGGAGGCCGAGGAATACCAGGGCTCCTTCGAGAGGTACTCCTACCTCTGGACGGACAACCTCCAGGAGTGCATGAAGAACTTCCTCATCTACGGCCATGCGGTCACCCGGGAGGACTTGGACCTCCGGGCAGAAGAGCTGGTCCCCAAGGCGCCACCCACCCTCACGCAGTTCCAGCAGCAGGTGTGGGCCACCCCCCCACCCCACCCACCCCCACTCCACTCCAGACCCCCTGTGGAGGGTCATGGGGCTTGATCAGGAACCTGGGTGAATGGTTTTACAATGTAGTTTTTACTTTTATTCTGGTCTGGTGAAGCCAGCAGAGTAGGAGACCGCCGCCATTAAAAGAGAGTTTGTGACTCCCAGTTCCCAAGAAGAGGGGGCCACATGGGAGCATCGGGGCCCCTCTGGGGCAGAGGAAGTGTGGGAGAACAGGAGTGACAGTCTGTGTTGTGGCTCCCAGGGAAGGAAGGAGTGGCCAAGGCAGGGTGAGCGGGCCTAGGACTGGCTAGTTTGAATCTTTCAGTGGACTTTGGGGTGTTGGAACTGCCCCAAGTGGTCTGGCACCAGGTCCTGGGGTGATTAGACAGGGGAATACTGGCCTGAGTGTGAGAGCACCATAGGGGAGGGGAGGGGGTTGGGGGGGGTGTGGGCGCTGGGTTGGTTTGCATATGAAAGACGGGAGAGTTCCTGGGGAGTTGTCTGACCCTCCAGGGTCAGTGAGGCCCCAGATGCCAGAGCATCGAGAATATAGACAATAAGAAAACACAGTTAACACACAAACATCCGCCTTTGTTCTGATGCACGGTGAGTGGAAGTGACCCACCCACACGGGGGATGCACAGGTGGGCACATTTCGCTGCACGAGGTGGGGACGACTGGTGGCGCTCGAGAGCCCCGAGAATGTCAAGCAGCCTGGAGAGGACTGAGTGGCCAGCTTCAGCTCCGGCAGCTTTGTTCTGTTCCTCAGAAGCCCTGCCGGCCATGACGGCCCTGCTGACGGACTGTCCCGAGCTGGGCTTCACGGAGTCCCGGGGAGCAGGGAGGAGGAAAACCCACGTGCCCTCAGGCCTCCATGCGCCTGCGTGGGGCTCCTGTCCCCACGCAGCCCGGAAGGTGAGCGGAGGCTGTGTTTTCCAGATCGACTCCTACGAGAAGCTGTCCGAGGAAGTGTCCAAGTGCGAGAACACCAAGGTGTTCAGCGGCTGGCTGCAGTGTGACTGCCGCCCCTTCAAGCAGGGCCTGCTCAACACCATCAAGCACTGGAGCTTCATGTTCAAGCGTCACCTGAGCAACCACGTCCTCAGCAGGTTGGCGCCACCCCCACCCCATCGGGAGGACCAAATCCTGGGAGCAAGGGCCGCCCGCCCGCCTGGCCTCCCCAGAAGTGCCTGGTGTCGGTGGTGCACATGCTCCTGTGCAGGTGTGGGGGGAGGTCAGGCTTAGAGGCCTGCAACCCCACCCAGGTGGCACCCAGCGGAAGGGGCCAGCCGGCTGCGAGGGGACGCCCCGCTCTTCATCGGTGCCTGCTTACTGGGCACTCATAGTGTCTGGGCCCCAGGTGACGACGAAAACTGTCGGAGCCTAGAGCCTGGCAGGGAGGCCTGGCATGTGACAAATGGTCCGGTGACCATGCGGTTACGGGTGGCGGTAAAGGCCGAGAAAGAGTGGACTCGAGCTGAGTGCCTCCTGGGAGACCAGCAGAAGCCTCTCGGAGATGTGGCCTTCCCTGGGGACTTGCTGGCCAGCTTGAGGGGAGCTGCAGAGGCAGGGGCGATGTGCCAGCAAGGACGCGGCAGGTGTCCTGAGATGGACGTGCGCTCCCTCCCTCGGGGGCTGCCCTCCTTGCGGCCCAACCTCCTCAGGTGGCTGCAGCCCTCACCTGTGGAGGTGGCTCCTGTCACAGGCACTTCTCTTGTCCCTTAGCCTCAGTGACCTGGAAGCCTTCATGAAAGTTGCCAGGATGGGCTTAAAGAAGCCCCTCAAGGAGGGTGATTATGACGGTCTTGTGGAGATGATGGGGCATCTGATGAAGGTCAAGGAGAGGCAGGCGGCGACCGACACCATGTTTGAGCCCCTGAAGCAAACCATCCAGCTGCTCAAGACCTATGGGGAGGAGATGCCCGAGGAGACGAGTGTGAAGCTTCAGGTAGACGGCGGCCAGGACAGAATTTCCTGGCAGTGCGCATGCACACACATGTGCACACACACACGCATACGCGCACGCACACACGTCACGCGTGTGCACACATACATGCACACACGTGCACAAATGGATTCAGGCTACCTGGTTAACAGGAACGCGCTGATGCTGATCACCTGGATGGGCCACCCCCAGGAAGGCTGAGGAGGCACAGGACTCTGCTATTTTTGCATCTCCCTGTGGGTCTATAATTATTTCACAATAGAAAGTGTTTAAAAGAACTGGAAAAGGAACAGTCTTGGCCCGTGTCTGCCATAGGAGCTGCCGGAGCAGTGGACACACATCAAGAAGCTGGCCATCCAGGTGAAACAGAACGTGGCGCCCCTCCAGGCCAACGAGGTCAACATCCTGAGGCGGAAGTGCCAGCAGTTTGAGGTACCGCAGCCCCTGGGGCGGGGCCATGGGGGCAGGGGGACGCTGCCCTGCAGCGTGGGGTGACAGGCATGTGACACCTTCCCGCATGTTGTTCCCACAGCTCAAGCAGCACGAGTTCAGGGAGAAGTTCAGGCAAGAAGCCCCGTTCGCCTTCAGTGACCCCGACCCCTACAAGTCCCTGAATAAGGTATTTTTGCTCGAGGGTGAGAGGGGTGGTGACTCTGGGAACCCCGTTGCTTTCTCGTCTTTTGTCAAGCTGTCATTCTTGAGAGTCCAGAATCATGGCCCCCATGGGACTGGTCTCCGCTCCAGGACCATACCTCACACCCATCTGAATATCCTGCAAAGTCACCGTCCCCTCAGGCTGCCCCACCCACCTCACAGGCCCCCAGCCCAGTTCACATTCAGCAGCTTCCAGTCCCCAGGGTAGCACTCGCCCGTCATCCCCGATGCCATCCTGTCCGTGGCCCCCCATGTGCAGCAGTGGCCACGCCTCACCCTTCCCCCATTTGTTCCCACTGTTAAGTTTATGGTCAGAGTCCAATGTGCAAGTTCCACAGCGCTGGACGTGGCACCACTCAAGCTCGGGCCCCTGGGACTCTCTCCATGCCTGGTAGGGAGCCCCCTGGAGCACAGTGGGCACTGCCAACACCTCTTGACACCCAGCACGGTGCTCAGACTCCGCTGTGACCTGGCCCAGCCCACACCTCTACGCACCCCGCAGTGCCACAGGCCTGAGCACAAGGAACCCCACAGAGTCCTCCAGGGTCACGCCACGCTCCCTCTCCCCCGAGCCTCTGCTCTTTTGTTTACTCAGTTTCAAAGTCCTCCATTCCTGAAGGTTAAGACCGTGCTCTTTGTTCATGGCCATTTTCTAATGTCCCCAAGCCATGCGGACGTGCCCATTTTCTCCTTTGACCCCCAGAGCACTTACCCGCAGGGCCCCAGGCTGGGTTTTTTGAAGGGTTGCCAAGTGAGCTCCATTCAGAGGCTGCGTGCACACACTCGGCCCCTGGTGCATCTGTGCAAACACATGCATGTGCTCGGAGCCAAAGCTTTCAGAGCGGTCCATGCTTAGTCGTGTGGATCAGGATGACTCTTTTTCTCCCCTTTGCTTATCTACATTTTTCTAATTTTCAAAGCCATCGAGCATTGCTTATGTAATTTTTAATAAGATAAAAGTACACGTAGCATGAAAATGGGAAAGATCCTGGGGAATCAGGAAATCTCAAGAGGAAATCTGGCATTCCTACAACGTCCATGAAGTCAGTCCTCAGACCTAAGCACACAAAGATAAACCACCTTCCGGTCAGATCAGAAGCAAAGGGGCATTAGGAGGCGGAAAGCGGGAGGGTGCTGCCGTCCTGGCTGGACAGTCTGCCGTCACTTTGTGTACGAGGGGTTGGAGCAGAGCGTGCTGACAACTCTGAGGACACGGCGGACAGCAAGGGGCAGGGCACCCCCGGGAGTGGGCAGCCCTGTTTACCGCCTTCCTCTCCGCCCCCAGCAACAAAAGAGCATCGTGGCCATGGAGAGCGTCATGGAGGCACTGTGTAAATCCGGGAGCCTGTTTGAAGTCCCAGTCCCAGACTACAAGCAGCTCAAAGCTTGTCGCAAAGAGGTGTCCCTGCTGAAGGAGCTCTGGGACATGATCGTCATGGTGAGAGGGACCACAAGCGAGCGGGGCAGGGGACCTCAGCACCCAGAGGGAAATGTGCCCGCCCGGTCGTGTCCTTCAGGTGTGAAAATGCACCATGGTTCCTGGTCTTTGATGGAGGTGCCTAAAGGACCCCAGGATGGGTCACCCCAATGAAAGCGTCTCTGTTTATCTTTTTCTCTGTGCGTAAATGCTCTACGTCTCATACTCTCCGGCCTGTCTCCTTCCCCGCACCTCCTCTCCTCCTCTCACCTCAATCTATTAGAAAGAACGACCCTCGCGGTTTTCATTAGCACTTCCCACTGACTCATGACATGTCTTCTTTTGACATCTGTACATCCTCTGTAGACGGCTCACGTCTTTGTCCCATTTTCTAGTTGGATTTTTTAAAAATCTCTTGAGTTTTGATATTTCTTTATATAGTCTAGAAGCTAGCCCTTTGTCAGATCTGTGATTTGCAAATAGCTTCTCCCAGTCTGTAGTGTGACTGTTCCTCCGCTTCACTGGGTCTTCTGCAGAGCAAAAGTTTTCAGTTTGGAAGGCATCCAGTTTACCAATTTTTCTTTTCATGGTTCATGCCTTTTGTGCCAAATTGAAGAACTCTTTGCCTAGATCCTGAAGATTTCACCTATTTTTGATTTCTAAAAGCTTTACAGTTTTATGCCTTACATTTAAAACTGTGACCTGTTTTGAGTTAATCTTTGTGTAAGGAGTAAGATTTAGGTCAAGGTTCAATTTTTTTGCCTCGGGATGTCTGATTGGTCCAGACATTTGTTGAGAAGGCTGTTCTTCCTCCATTGTCAGGAACCAGTTGGGCCTGTTTGTATGAAGCTCTGTGCGAGTTGTCTATTCTGTCATGGGTCCGTATGTCTGTCCACCCCTCCATAGCCCTGCAACAGCCGTGGTTACTGTAGGTCTCTACGAAGCCTTACTATCGGGGAGAGCGACTGGTTTCTCCCGCTCGTCCCTTCTTTTCTGAGATGGCTTTACTATTCCAGGACTTGTACTTTTCCATACAGATTTTAGAATAAGCTTGTTATGCCCACAAAAAAACCTTGTTGGGATTTCTATAGAAATTGCATTAAACGT